TCTGTGCTAACTCGTACTAAAGGATCATAAAAGACAGCACTGCCATTAACAGTGATAAAAAACCAGTTCAACAGTGAAACGATGGCTCCATGAACAGATTTGCCCATGTCGATGATGTATACGTCGCCGTTTAATTGTCGTTCGAATTTGTACCCACAAGATTCTTGAGTTTTAAGAAAATGGTTGTATTGCTTCACCGAAACTCTTGATCCAATCTGAAGAGGGAGCCTACAATCTATGAGTGAATATCCGACATATCTTTGAGGAATCTGTATAACTACCTGTTTTCGTCTATGGGATGACTGAGTAATTGGAGGCGATCTGGGTGAAGGAAATTACCCAGTCTTTCCAATATTCTGCTAGAGCTTGAAGACGCGAGTGGCATGTTTGATGATGGAAGAAAAAAAGATATAAATGTGATCACGTCTAAATCAATACTCAGGTCGCTGATAAATTTAATATCAGGTCGTACGATTATATCATTTTTTTATGACCACGTGCCCATTTACCCAAATCTAAGCGACCAATAATGAACGAGTATTGTGACATAAAGTAGTCGTTGTCCATTATGTATCATTCACTTTCTGAAAGTATGAATACTGTCAAAACAGAAAAAGTAATATATAGGGTCGCTTATTACATCAGTAAAAGATTTTAGGGCATAGATTTGAGGTCAGGGACTTTCTCGTCAACTTCTAACCACTGTTATTCCGTCGGGAAAAACAAAAACTCAATTTGACCCCCCCAATCACCAACTAGCCATTTTCATAGAACATCCCTTATATCTGCTGTAGTCCTATGACACACAGAAGCTATCTTAATTGGCTGATATTGTCGGGCTGAAAATTTATCGTAATTGATTTAACAGGAGCAAGGAGTGTCGTTTATACATACGAAAAGGCTGGGATACGGCTTAGAGCTAAATTAGATGTCATACTGTAGTATCACAAACGCGAGGCCAACCAATCGTACTTTAACTACTATACGCTCAGACTACCGTAAACTGCTGACTAGTATACCCCCCTATGATCTATATCCTGTAGTGATTTTTGGGTCCGATTTTTGATTTATACCCGGCCGGATACATCAGTCAGCAGTTTACGGTACACCACAAATAGAAACAATGGTAGAAATAATGAATTCCCAATAAAAAATATGTTTTGTGGCTGGGATTGTTACTTGAGTCGGTGTTAACATTCTTATTATAGTTAGACTATAAAAATTATGGAACCTTTAATAGCCGTAGGACAAAACACCAATCAATACATATCTTTTATTATTGGTTGCTGCCATTACATATTACTCAAAGTAGTCTGCTGTTTGCAGAAAAATACAACCATGCTTCGAAACCTGAACGAAATTGACGCGCGTTGCCTGTATGAGAAAGCGGCGAGCCTTTTCGTATTATATTTAGGATTATATAAGTGGAGCAGAGACGGGTCTGTATATAAAATCAATACTATTGTATATATATACTGGATATCATAGTGTATACTGAACAAAATATAACATCTCATCCGTATCTACGTGCGACATATGAATTTTTGAAAATTATGACCATCAAAATCTACACTCGACGAATCTTTGTTCGAGAAGACATTAAATCAATGACCCAGCTGTTACAACTTAGTACACGGCGTTTACAATCGAGTAACGTTATACAAGCTCGTTCGCAAAGATAATCTATCCAAAATAAAGTAAGCGAACAACGAGGATGGGAGCATGAGAGTAGGAAATGAATACTACATATAGTTAGCATGTAAGTAGGTAAAAATGCATTCTAAGAGATTCATTCAACATACTTGCATTTTTACATTGGGTACATTTTCCTGTAGTCATTTGTCCAGTACCGATACGATAAATTCACTCATTGAATCAACCAACATTGCACATGCCTCTTACTTATAATCTTGTCAATTACAACTTTTTCTGCTAAGGAAATGAGCCCAGAGAAGATTGGTGAAAAGTTTAATCTAAGAACGCCCATTGAACCGGATACGCTAGTCCGTTCAATGTAGATACCTTAACGATACTGTAACTGCTCACAGCCACACAAGCGTCCACATTGCCCTCTTCAACTTCTCGTGACCTTAACACGCTATTATCCTCTCATCCACCTCAGCACATTCTCGGATAGAAGGTGCTTATATTCCTGTGTAATGCAAAGCATGATTATGGAAGAAAGGGCAAACATGTTGGCTAATGATTTAGGGATGCAAAACGAGCGGTAGTAAATATGAAAAAAAGGAAATCGGGTCGAGAACGGAGAGAAATACAAGGAATGTTCGAGCGCAGCGAACTTTGACTGTTTGACGTGTAATTAAGAAGAGCGTGCAATTAGCATTCTGGAAAGCATGTTTACTATGTTGGTAACAGGATAATCAAACAACAAGGATGGCGCACGTGTGAACAGAACGTTCATTCTGATGCGCAACTAAACAACAATTCAGCTATCGATCGGATTGACCAGTAGCACCTGTTAGTGGAGGCAACTAAGTGATAGGAACGTTGTTCCTTTAAGTGGACATACAAATTGCTGAATCGACGTATTATTTCCCAGGTACTGATGCCAATGAGAAGTGTGTTTATTTGACCATTAAGCAATACGAACATCACAAAAATGCACGAAAGAACGCCTACATCTCTTATCTTGTTCTCTTCGCTAATTATCTTTGACCTTCTTGGCTGTTTACACTTCCATCATCCTGAAGAAGTCTAAACGTTCTTAAAGATATGGATGGAATGTGTGTTGAGCAAGGTCGAGAATATACGAAGGACAAATTGAGACAAAAGGGAATTTGAAGAATTAGAATGACATCCTTCGTGAATGGTTTACGGCACTTATATATCTTAGTCGGGTAATTATAATGGAGTCTTTGCGGATTCAGAAGAATAGGAATAAAACTTCTGGGCTAGTTGATAACTCTTCATTCTACAAAATTATCGATTCGATATGAACTTCAGTAAAGCGCAGCTATGCTGTATTGGTATCACTATTCGATTAGAATTAAAACTTCTCTTACCAAGGACAGAGGCACACATGGTAAGTCACATGGTAAAATCTTCATTTATAATACTTTTTTGAAATCCAACCCCCTAGTAAAATGTGTTCGGTATGTTGCACTGTAGAAACGTTTATTCTGTTGAATCTCCTCAATATTATTTAGTAAAAATGTCAAACGAAAAGCGTTGCACAGAGTGGCAGTCCAGCGAATCGACAAAATTCCGTTCGTTAAACGGTGAGAAATGGAGAGGCGAGTAAGGGCTTCGTGAAGGGTAATGTGGGAGGAAGGAGTCGTTTTGTGCAATTCATGTTATATGCAATTTGTAGAAAGCCCTTTAAGAAGGGGGTTTAAACGAACGAAAGTTACAGATGAGGAAGATGGAAGTACGCCCATTACAAAACTCGAGCTTGCCGATGCCATCAAGGCGATGGCAAAAATTCTTTGTGAAAGAGAGTGTGTGAATAACGAAGGACCAATTTATGCATTCGATGAAATGCAGAGTTTGCTAGAAGAGCGTGAACCTGCTCTAAAAGAAGCTCGACCATTTGAACGTAACAAGCAAACGATGGATCGTATGAAGAGAATAATGGTTATCCGTATACACCAACGCAGTTACATACGCTGTCTAAAAAGTGTGCAGTATGGCTTTTGGAAAGATATATCAAACACATAATCAGTATCCTTTGATCATCTGATTGTATTAACACATACAAATTGCCTTCTCTAGGTTATGAAATAACAGATCGAGGGGTTTTGTTACTTACAAAAAACCCGATACAACTGTTTTATGCGACTCTATACACTGTGATCAGAGTCGCGATTCGAGCAGCGGCATCGTTCTGGCATGCGAGCATGGTTATCATAATTATTGCCTGCAACGTGCCAATTCAAATGTTATGGGAATATCTTCAGAATGAGTCGGAAATTGGATCTATCGACGAAAGTAGTGAACACACGCCTGATGATGATTTGAATGATGCATTAATGATGAAGAATCTACTAGAGCGAGCGAAAAGTTTATTTTTAGAACTGTAAAAGTTTGTTTATTTATATGAATAAATTGTGCAAGAATATTTGCTTGCTTGTACTTCTGAACTTTCCAGTTAGGAGAGTAGATAACATCAACATAAAATTTATTAGATACAACTCATTGATAAATATTAACTTGCTTTCAGTATTGCCGTATTTGTTATTTTTTATGAAGCATTCGATAGACTTTCCCCTTTCTTCTCAACACAAATGTGTCGTTTGGTTCAATATCCAATGATTTATTGAGATCAGCCAATGCATTGTCATATTGTTTAAGCTTGCGATAGACATTTCCCCTCCCGCTCAATGCAAGTGCGTTGTTTGGTTCAATCTCCAACGATTTATTGAGATCAACCAATGCAATGTCATATTGATCAAGCATGCAATAGATATTTCCCCTTACTCTCAATGCAAATGCGTCGTTTGGTTCAATCTCCAACGATTTATTGAGATCAACCAATGCATTGTCATATTGATCAAGCATGCGATAGACGTCTCCCCTTCTGCTTAATGCAAATGCGTCGTTTGGTTCAATCTCCAACGATTTATTGAGATCAACCAATGATTTATGGAAATCAACCAATGCATTGTCATATTGTTTAAGCAAGCGATAGACATCCCCTCTCATTCTCAATGCAAATGCATCATTTGGTTCAATCTCCAACGATTTATTGAAATCAACCAATGCTTTGTCATATTGTTTAAGTATGCAATAGACTTCTCCCCTTACTCTCAATGCAAATGCGTCGTCTGGCTCAATCTCCAACGATTTATTGAGATCAACAAGTGCATTGTCATATTGATCAAGCATGCGATAGACATTTCCCCTTCCGCTCAATGCAAATACGTTGTTTGGTTCAATCTCCAACGATTTATTGAGATCAACCAATGCATTGTCATATTGTTTAAGCAGGCAATAGACAGTACCCCTTACTCTCAATGCAAATGCATTATTTGGTTCAATTTCCAATGACTGTTTAAGATTTTTAAGGGACTGTCTATATTCAGATTGCAACATATAATTGTTTCCAAGTATTGCCCAAGCTTTGGC